CTTTTCATCTGTGTCACACACTGGTGTCTGAGGCTCTGCTCTCCACCCAATTCTGGCCCATCCCCACCAGACTCGGGCAGCACCTCCAATCTAGGTGGGCGCCTTCTCTAGGCTTGCACAGCCCACCTGCTGTCCCCAGTGGCCCTAGCACTGGGGTCTTGGTAGGGAAGCAGTGCTCTCCCCAGTACAACAGGCCTCACGTTGCTCTGGGCACAGGTTTGTTAGGAATGGACACGATGGGGCTGAGGGCCACCGCTGAGCAACCACGCCATCCTGAGTACCCAGACACCAGAGGAAGGTCCATCCCAAGAGGACTGAGGTCCTGCTCCGACTGACTTGTTCCTGTTCCAAGCAAGTTGTCAACACCAACACCAACTCGGTGCAGTGGACGCTATGCCTGGCTGGAGTAGGGGTGCTGTTGTCCTCCGCCTATGCTCCCCACGCCCCTCAGGGAGCCTGGCCCCTGCACCCACCTGCAGGGAACATGATGAGTGCCTGCCGGATCAGGAAAGAGGCCTTCTCCCTGGCAATGGCAATCTCATAGGAGGAGCGGTTCGTCTGCTGACTCAGCAGGAAGTAGGCCAGTGGCACAGAGTAGGCAAAGTTAGGAAGCTGCGACAGGTTCCGGTGCACCTACAAGACAATGGGGTTGGGTTTGGGCAAAGAGCAGACTCCAGTTTGTGGCCAAGGGTGGCCTGCTCCTGGGGTCCCCATGGCCATTCTCCTCACATCTCAGACTCAGTGCACCCCAAAAATGGTCAGGAATGTCACCTGCGCCCACCCCCACCTCCTGCCTGCCCAAGAAACGAGACCACAGAGAGGAGAGTCCTTGGCCAACCACACTGTCACATCTCTGCAGGTGCTCTGCATATGGGTCTCAGTCTCATAGGTTTACTGGCAGCTGTGTGATATGGGCATTCTAAAAGCCCACCCTGTGGTGGGCTCGAGGGCTTGCTGGCCTGCCAGGCAGCGCTGCCTGACAGCAGACTCAGACCCATTTGAGGTCACCCACACCATCTTCCCAGAGTCTCACTCTTTCCCACCCATCTGCAGCCGGCGTGCAAGAAGGGTCCTGTTGGCACACTTTGAAGCCTGCCAGGCCACCCTGCCCAGGCCACACCTGCACAAGCACACGGAGCCAGGCAGTGTGTGAGCGGGCACAGGAGTCCATCTCCCTGCATCCAGTCCCAGACAGGTGGGGCACACATCAGGTGTGCTCCAGGCCACCCTTACTAAGCACCGTGTCTTGGTTCCAGTCAGAACTGCTCTGCTGTCTGCACACACACACAATTGTTAGAGGCACAGGCTGACCCACCCTGAACTTGGGACTCAAGGCAGCTGGCAGCTTCTAGCCATGCTGTGCCAACTGCCTGACCACCTACTCAGTCACTCAGAAACGTGCAGCAGCTAAGTGTCAATGGTCTCCATCAGGCCCCTTTCCATGTGCCTTCTTGGCCCTCACCGAGCCAAGAGCAGGTGAGCTAGGCACCAGTGGGCCCCTAAGGTGCTTGGCAGCTACACCTACCTCCCAGTCCATGTAGAGGCAGGTCAGGTCCTCATAGCTGCGGGCCCGCAGCGCCAGGTGATCCACCATCAGCAGCATGCACAGGGGGTCCTCGTTGGGCTCCAGGCTTTGGGGCAGAGGAAGGTGTCACAGTGTGGGGGCATGGGGCAAGACATGCACGCCCGGGGCAGGCACTCACCTCAGGATGAGCTTGCAGTACTCCAGGGCCGTGCGTGGGCAGCCCCGCTTCTCGAGGAACATCATCTGCTTGTAGAGTGCCAGGAAGAAGCTCCTAAACAGTTTACATACCATCAAGTGGTGCCCAGGCAGGGAGGGGGGGACTCGTGCGGGGCAGGGGTGGTGGTGGCACTTCAGTGCTGCTTTCCTAGCATGTTCTCTATGCCCTGAAACCACCAGGGCTGCCTGTCATGCGAAGCTCTAGAAGCTCGTTTGCGGACAAGAGTTTAAGGCATGCAGTGTAATCACGGTGCCGGTCTCCTCACTCTCTGGTCCCGCTGGTCACAAATCTGTGCTATCATGCAGCTGTTACTGCATCAAGAGCCGACTCTCCCTTTATGGCCTGGATGTGCTAACATGGACACTTATTATAGTCTAGAAGAACTAGGAAATCAGCCAGAGAGATAAGACACACAAGAAGTTGGCAGAGCCACTTCATACCCAGCAGGCAGGGAGGCTGGAGACCCCTGCATGTCACAGCACCGGGGCTCAGGGACAGGTGGGGTGAGGCTGGCAGGCAGTGATGGCTGTGGGGGCGTGGGCAGGAAAGCATGGAGAGTGACTCCATCTCAGATGTGCTTGCTCCTCGTGTCTCACACGCAGAAACACAGGTTGTAGCTGTGTCTTGGAGTGGGTTTGTGGGCCACCCTTGTACAGGGTGGTGGCAGCACTCACCTGTTCTCGGGCCTGCGGTAATCCAGCCGGGCACTCCCGTTGGTCAGGCTGAACATGGGGTGGAAGGCGCACTCCATGCTGTACAGCGCCCGCTCTGTGGACAGACACTTGCTCACCACAGGCCCTTGCTCGGCTGGTGATGACAAGCCTGGAGCCTAGGGCTCTGCACGCATGTCCATCCGCCGAGAGATGGACAGCCTGCACTGAGGTGGAGCCGGAGCACCCAGAGGTGCAGACACATGACCATGCGTGCTCATGCTGTTCCCGTCACCACCCAGCAGCCACCCCGTGGAGCGAGCCCCGACACACGACAGGGCTGAAGGAAAGGTCCTCGTCTGCTGGGCGTGTGCACTGTTGTCAGCTGATGGGACTAGACTAAGGTGACCAGATTTAAAGCGGGACGCCATTGACCCGGGTAGGGGTGGGTGTGGGTGTTCTTGATTAAAAATTTGGTCTGTATGGATCAAATAGACCGTTCCCTAGCTTGTTATGCATTCTTTCCAAAAATCAGGACTTTTTAAAAATGCCAAAAATCAGGAATGTCCCGCCAAAAGCGGGACGTCTGGTCACCTTAGACTAGACTGCCTGGCCCACGTGCTCACCTATGAGGTCTCTGGCCGTCTCCTGGTCCTCCTGGAGCCGGCAGGCATCGCTGAGTTGCAGGAGTGAGTCCACGTGGTAGGGGCTTGTCTGGAGCAGGACCTGCTGGCCAAAAGGGTCCTGCCTTTAAGCACTTAAGAGGTAAGGACACAAGGACACAAGCTCATAGGGACACAGACTCCAGCTGTGGCCACTGTGGGCCGCCCCAGCCCAGTGAGAAGAATCTAGCAGCATAGCTTCCCACCTGGGACACAGGTGTACAAGGACAACAGCTCTGTGCCAGACAGCTGGGCTTGAAGGGAGGAGGGCAGCTCAGTACACAGGGCAGGTGACCCTGGGACAAGGTGTGCTGTGTGGCCCCCAACACACATCATACGGCCACAGGTCAAGCTGTCTGCACACAGGCGCTTATGGGCAGGCCCAGGGTGGTCGGGCCAGGCACAGGGGTGGCCGTGTGGGTCAGGCTGGGGGTGGGCTGGACGTACCACGATGTTGTTGGGCTCCATGGAGTCCACGGCAGCCAGGAACCGGTGCTGCACCTGCTGGTACTCCTCGTTGTGCTCAAAGGCAAATAGGGAGCGCCCCTTCCTTGTCTCCAGCAGCCGCATCGAGAGCCCTGGGGATGAGTGAGGGCATGGGCTCAGGGCGCTGGGAGCAGCACCCCATAGGTTAGAGCTTCTCTCAGAACCAGCCCTGCCTGAGGGACCACATGAAAGCCTGGAGGGGGCCCCTTTCTCCTCTCGGCCCACTGTAAGAACCCCAGCCTCTTTGGGATGAGGTTGATGTCACCAACCCCCTTCAGCCTCCAACTTCCCATCCATCCCACAAGAGGCCCCGGACCTCCAGCTTCAGGTGCTGGGAGGACAGGAGCACCACACAGACCCACTGGACACAGCCTGCCCGCTCTTGGGCCCTCCCTGCCAAGGACAGGGCAGCAGTGAGCCCTGAGCTATCATCTGCACACACACATGGTATCCCTGTCCCACCCTACAGCCTCAGGCCCCAAGGACACTGGACACGGGAGGCCAGTGGCTCCAGATGACTTTCCAAGCCACCACCCCCACTCCCACCCCTCTGTAAAGGCTGAATGCCTCCTACAGAACAGGTGGGGGAGTGAGGGACCACAGACCACCCCAGTTTCTAAACTGCGAACTTTAGTCCACCAGGGACTCAGAGGCAGACTCCTCATTGGGATGCATCCCTCACTCCAGGACGTCTACACAAGCCCCGCTGGCCCCACAGCCCTCACCTGGTTTGGTGTACCGAGGCCAGGTGCTCTTGGGGTTCGTCAGCCACATGGACTTGATGTATGAGCGCTGTCTCTGCCGAGACCTGGGGGACATGTGCTGACTTAAGGGTTAAAAATAATTGCATGGCCGCGGCTTTGGAGGTCATCCTTCCTCCCTCCAATGGATCCAGAAAGGCAGAGTTGATGAGAATTAAAAATTCTGTTGTGCATTTTCCCCCTTTTGATCAGGATTCTTCTATGGAATCGTTGATCAAAATGGTTGGTAATGGTAGCCGGGCACCACCTAGTTCTTCTGGTCTCATGTAAAGGAGGCGGCGCTCAGGGACTTATCTTTATGGCTAAGGTGAGGCTGCTTTGGACACACAGTTCAGTGTAGAGCTTACCTTTGATCCCCCTGGATTGCTCGAGCACCGAAGTACCTCCTCAGTTCTGTGTCTGGATTCAAGTGTCTAGAGGAGCGACCATTTCAGAAAGAAAGATAACATCAAGTTCTACAACTCTGGAAAACTTTAAAAGTCACATAAAACCCAGCAGGGAGACCACTTCCAGATTCACTTTCTTAAGTCCCACCATGGTTGGCAGCCACACGGCCCTGCAGGACACAGCGGGGTCACTGCCTGTGCTCGGCACCACCGCCTTTTCTGTGCCACACGGGGATGTGAGGACAGACCTCCCCTCCAAGTGGCAGACACTAAGCATCAGGAGAACTGACCATTACAGGCTAATGGACTCTGAGGGATCATAAAACAAAACATAAAAACCAACAATGTCAGCAAATTTCTGTAGTAAGGCAAACTCAAGACATATTTAAACCATGGGCATGAGTGGATTTGGGGCTCACATCTGACCTCGATCTAAGAACAGTTAGCTCTTATGTCATGGCCCTGGCCCACATGTGCCCTCACGAAGAGATCCCTGAAGTTATGGGTGGTGTAGCAAAGTGCGGTGAAGAGACTAGATGGTGCCCAGCTAGCAGAAGGAACAGTCTGGGGTCTTAAAGACTTATTCTCACACAAGCAGCCATCTAAGTGAGGCATCAAGTCCATTTGCAAGAAGCACACTAGTGACTAGCCTGTGTGATGCAAGGGTTGTAGGTAAATAGTAAAACTCAAATCCAAAGGCAGGAATGGTATCAGAACACCTGGTTTACAGAAAGCTATGGATGATGGTGCAAGTCCACTCTGATCATAGGTTGAGGGTGTAAATAGCATTGTTATCAGAGAGAGAGCATTGTAAAACCAATTATGGAAGACACAGTTATGTTAAAATGTAGTATCTTATCATTAGATCTCCCTTTGGACCCATTTGAAAGTTGTTTCAGTTTTTAAGTGATGGAGAAAGACACGGAGCCCTGGTGGTGCAGTGGTGAGGAGTTGGGCTGCTAGCCAGCAGTCTGAAACCATCTGCTGGTCCTCAGGAGAAAGGGTTAGTCTCCGAAACTCACTGGGCAGGTCTACACTGTCCTCGAGGGTGGCTACAGTCGCCGGCATCGGCTCCATGGCAGTGTGTGAATCTCTAATGCATCCCCTCTGATGGGCAAGCCTTGCTGTCCTGCAGAAGGCACTGGCAAGTGAACGAGGTGTGTGCAGCTAGGTTAAAACGTAACGCCTTCTCATTAGATCTCTATCTCAACCCCTTTTAAGTTTGCGCTATAAATAAATAAATGAAATTTGTTTTAGTGTTTTAATATTTACTACTATCTTTTCTTTCTTTTTTTTTTTCAAGAAAGGGGGAGAGGAGCCGCACACCGGAGGTCCCGACGCATGTCTGGCGTGGCCAGTGACCGACATGGAAGCCTGTGTGAGGAACTTTTAACATTTTTCTCAGGCTCCGCCCAAGGAGTGACCCCCAGCCACCAAGGCCGGTCCCTGGACCCAGAGTGGGGACTCGAGAAACACTCTC